CATGGACATGGTAAATTAAGGAAACAAGGATAAAGCTGGGGAAACAGTGGTCTAGAAAATACTAAATGCCAGGGAAGAGATAAACATGTTGATATTTCAGCTACTGAGAAAACTTGAATGAGCAAGTAATACTAGAACAAACAGCTGTTCATGAAATATTTTTGCCCATCCCCTTGGAAAAAAATAAAATAACAAAAGCAGCAGCAGGGGAATCATTTTTTAAAGAACAACTTTCAAATCTGGTCAAAGGCCTGTACAGTTCCGACACAATAAATCACTACAGCAAACACCTACAGTGTCCATCACAACAGTCTCAGAAATTCCTTGGGCCTTCCCAAAACGATTATTTTCTTGGCTCCATTCTCCTTGCTGTCATCCGCTAGATAACTTGTACTACTCGCTCTGTTAACTCTGAAAAAAGGAGCTGTCTGGCCAAAGTCGACCATAATCAGAGTACATGTTTAAGTAGGAGAACTCTCCTGCCACCTCCAGGGGCTTAAACTGGAATCCAGACTTGTCCCTGCTCCCCTATTATCTGATTAAGAGGACACTTTGCTGACCATGAGCCTACATTTGAATTGACCTTCCTCACTGCATCTCACAAGTTGAACAGCACCAGCAGTACCCGCATGATAAGACACCACTCTCATTTCCTGGTTGTTTTCCTCCAATACTTTGACCCAACTTTCTCCACAAGGCAGACCACTTAAGGCTAAGCAATGAGCTGCCATTAGATGAAACCTTTCAGAGCTAGTTCCAACTGGAGGGTGAGTCAGCTTGCTCCCTGTTGCCAAAGTGGCCTCCCTGTTGGTCTCTGAAGACAGAATCAGGGAGGGTGTTTCAAAAGGCAGAGAGGGCAATCCTGGGCCCACACCCAGGACCGCCCAGGATTAGGTGAGAACAGCAGCCGCCACTCCTGGGCAACAACCAGGCTTTTACTCTCAGCAGGTGAGTGACTCTCACTACAAGGGCCCTGCAGCCTGCACATCACCTCTTCTTCAATCAGAAGAGCCATGTTCTAAACCATGTTTTCTTGGGGGGGGGGGGGGAGAGCATGGGGTAACAGTGCTGGCAGCTGAGTAGCTTTCCCTACTTCTCCCCAAGAGGGCAAACAGGGTAGACTTGCTTGGTTCACATATTTACATGGTCTTCCTTCTAGATGACAGGTGAGTGCTTACTTTTTTTTTTTTTTTTTTTTAACTGCCAAGGAGTTGTTAAGTCTCAGGCAGATCATAAGAGGCAAGCAATTAGGATAATGGAACAAAATAACAGATGGCTACTTTAGAGCCTCCATCACTCACTTTCTTTCTTTCTTTCTTTCTCTCTCTCTCTCTCTCTCTTTCTCTCTCTCTCCTTCCTTCCTCCCTTCCTTCCTTCCTTTATTTATATTTTTTAGAGAGGGAAACAAAAACAGACCCTACATGGAGAAAAACAAACCACCACGAGGACTTTCAAATAATTAACTCGCACTTAAACAGCCCCAGCCAAAGGTCAGGTCTAAACACAGAGGCCCAGCAAGCAGTGATGTTTCATTGACTACTCAAGCTTAGCAAACATGGCGTTTCCTCATGCTGAGGTTCTGATGAGCAGCTTTCAAGAGATCCCTTACTTCCAGGAGAGCGGGGGCGGGGAGGGGTGGTGGCAAGGCTGTCCAAGCCCCTCTTAGAAACCAGGAGAGTAAACTGTGGCTCAGAAATCTAAAAGATCAAGAGCTTACTCGAAGACCAGACCAGTCCTACCCCATACCCCAGGAAAACAAGAAGGTTCCACATAAAAATTGTTGCATAAGCTACTTACCAAATAATGCCATGTATATGAGGGTCCCCTAGAAGCAGCACTTCGAACCAATTCAGTCCAGTTCGACACCCTGCCTCCCCCCTGCCTCCTCGAAGTCAGAGCAAAGGGTTTCCAGCTCAAAGCAAGAACCAATGGAAGACACACACATAAACACACCCTTTGCCTCGGGCCAAGCCTTGTTCAATTCCTAGAATTCGATTTCCCATACTTTAGGGTTCAGAGCTGTCCTGAACAGACTTCCAGAATACTTGACTATGCCTAAGGCACTCACAGGACTGTCAACCTCTGTGCACCAGGTGGCTCAGCCTTGGAGAGTCAAGAACAACAACATGTTTTTCATTAAAGTGACACTGCAACTCAGAAATAACCCAACCAGCCTTCATGGTAGTGGTGTGTCTCTTAGAAGGCAGGCAGAAAACAGTACAAGCTGGTGTATTCCTTTCCACTAGTGCTTCCCCCATTTCATAAAGGTCCCCTGCCTTCCCACCCCCCACCTGCAATAACAGGAAAGTACACAGCAATGAAGCAATACTTCTTCCCCAAAGAACAGTTAAGTGTAAATATTTGCTGGAGAGGGTATAAAGCAGGACAGACTAGAATGTGGCCCTTATTGAAATCTAAAGCAACTAGCGCTAGGGAATCTGAGAGGCAGCCTTCCCCTCAACCTTGCCAGGCCCTTGAGGAGGGGAACGGAGAAGCCAGAGGAAGGAGAATGATACACAGCAACAAGGGCTTGGGGTTCCGTTGAGTCCTGGTTCCCGCCCAGAGCCTGAATGGTGCCCCAGCCTCACCCTGTGGGCAAGGGTGACTATAATCAGAAGCACACACCCTAACTCCCAGAAGAGGGGAACTCATCTAGCAAGGAGTCACTGGGGAGTGGTAAGAGAAGACAGGAGAAGGAAAAGGAAGGTCCTTCATTCCCTGAGAAAAAAGGGTCAGGGGTTATTTTCTCAAGCACCTGAAGCAGGAGAAGGAAGATCTTACACATTCTCAAAAGCACACCTGTGGCCCCATTCCCCCTCAACTTCGCAAGGCTCTTGGCAACTCTAAACCTTTTCCAACTTGGCACTGCCTTGGGCAATAAATCATTGTTGAACTAGATTCTTCTCCCCTTCAAAAAGTCTTTTTATCTCAACCTATCTCAACCTGCCCACCTTGTGGGGTGGTCGGGGGAGCAGGATAAGGATACCACCTCTGCCCCATACCCCTAGCTACCACTGGGGAAATTCCAGCAAAGGCTGGTAATTCACCTAAGGTGAGGCCAGGCCCCACACTCCAGGATGCCTCCAACAGCTGCCCCTTCCACTCACTCCACCTCCTCCACCCCTTTTCCCTCCAGACTGGGTGGCTTGCACTGAGCCCCAGAGCACCAACTCACAGCCTCAAGAGACTTCCAGTCACACTCTCCACTCTTTTTAAACCCTGAGACTTCCCCCCACATTCCTGAAAAACTCCCCCAAATCCACTCTCCCAAATCTTCAGAGCCCCAAGTCCCAACATGACACACATCCATCTTGTGGAATCACCAAAGAGACAGACAGACCCCTTTGATTCCTCATTTTCCAGATGACAGAACTGTCCAGAAATCCAGACTCCTGCCTAAGGCCGAAGAGCTGATTAGCAACAAATCTGAGATGGAAACCCAGATCTCCAAACCCATTGAACGCCTCTAACTTCAAGTGCCTCTCAACCTCTTCACACACAACACTTCTGAACAACCCCCCTCCCAAAACACATACTGCTTTCTTTAGCTCTTCTTGCACACACTTTTTCAAAACCCTCCTAATATCAGCTCAAGGTCCCTCCTCTCAACCCCACCGGGTTATTCCACACATACCCCCCAATGCCTCCTCTGGGCTTCTGATCTCCCTTTCACTACTGAAGGTCCCCCTTAGGCTGCTGCCACATCCCAAAGTCCATCTGAAAACAGAGCCTGCTTGAGAATGCTTTCACCTCTCCCCTCCACCACCTAAAAAAAAGACACAATTTTTCCTGGCCACTCACCTCTTCCTCCCAAAACTCCTTGTGCTCTTGCAACACACACACACACACACACACACACACTCCCATCCCAGGACTGCATCTGCAGAAGCCCCCTTCCCTTGCCCCCCAAAATTCCTTTCTCAGCCTATCCACGCCATGTTCCCTTTCCAAGAAGACTTTCATTTTCCTAAACCAACCTCCCCCCAATTATGATCCACCATTCCAGCTCACATTCCCTCCCGATCTCACCTTTCCCTCCCACCTTTACTAAGCTTTCCAAGCTCCCATCAACTCTTCCAGAAACTCCTCCCCAAAACACCCCCAATTCTCTGCACTATCTCCCTTCGGCTTCTCCAGCCCCCTGTCAATTCCTCTTACCTCCGGATCTCCTCCTTTTCCTCTTAGAATAGGGTTACCCCCCCCAAAAAAAAAAAAAATCTCACTCCCTTCAAACACTTATTCACAGGTCACCTGAGCTGCCGCCCCTCTTCATGCCCCCAATCCCACCAGGCCTCCTCAGCACCCCTCCCCCAGCCCCACCCCCATGTCTTTTTACCCCCAGTTCTTCCTGGAAGAGCCCCTCTAATCTCTTCACCTTCCCAGTCTCCCTAATGCCCCACCCCTCTTCTAACGCCACAAAGCCTTCCTTGTACCCCCAACTCCATCTTCAGACCCCCACATTCCCTACGCCCTCAGAAGCCCCCCAAGCCACGGCTTCCATCATTCCTACCCCCTCGGCCCTTTCTGCACCCCTTCATACCGAGCTCCCCTCCAGACCCCCCAGACCCCTAACTGCACCATGAGCGACGAGCTCTCTTCGCACACTCCCCAGTTTCCTCTCAGTACCCTCAGCCCATTCTCTGATGCTCCAGCTCTTCCTCAGACCCCAATACCATCTGACACACTTCCCGGTCATCGCCTCGGCTTCCCTCAATTCCCAGCCCTTACTAAACTCAAACCTAAACCCACCGCCATCGAGTCGGTTCTTCATCAGATCCCTGATGCCTTTTTTCCAGACTCCCTAGTTCCCACTCAGACCCCCACTTCCTTCCTCAGGCCCTGCCATTCCCTTCGAGGACCCGCCAATTCCTCCATCCCCATCACAGACCCTCCGATTCCACCCCAGCCCTCCAGTTCCCTCTCCAGACCCTCAGCCCCTTCCCGGGCCCCAGCCTCCCTCCGGAGCAGCCCTCGTCCCGTCCGGCCCGCGGGTCGCGCACCTTGCGCTGCTGCTTCTCCCAGGCCGGGTCCAGCAGCAGGTCCCGGTCCCAGTCGTCTTCCTGGGCCATGTAGTCGCCCATGCTACCCCCGCCGCCGGCGCCATTGCCCCCGCTGCTGGGGCCGTATTGGTAAGACTGGTTCGCCGCGTGGTAGTCCACCATTCCGCCGCCTCTTGCTCGCCCACCAGCCCGTCCGCTCCCACCTCAGCTCCCGCCCCTCTGTCCGAGCCGCCGCAGCCGCTACCGCCTCAGCTGCTTCAGCCCGCCCTCGGCCCGCGCCTGCGCACTAGCCAGAGCGCCTGCGCAACGCGCCGCCGCCGCCACCCTCTTGCGCGCGAGAGCCTGACAAACCAAAAAAGCACTAAGCCCCTCCTCGGAGAGTTCCGCGCCTGCGCAAAAACCACGTTTCGTCCCCCCCACCCCCACCGCGCCCGTCGCCTCTTCAGAAGCTGCGAGCAGCTCCGCCTCTCCCTCGGGAACGCGCGCGTGTGTCGTCCGATTGTGGGCGGGGCCAGCAAAAATGATTCAGAAGGCGGGTCTCGCCGTCACGCATTAACTTGCTCAGGCATGGAATGGATCCCCATTCAGCAACACAAATTCACTGAGCGCCTACTGTATGCCAGATCATGTTTTATGCTACAAAGGAATTTTAAAAAATTTAGGTGCTTGGCATAAGTAGAGGCTTCTGCCAGAGCTTCAGGCTGGACTCCATGTTTTCTCTATTTACAGCTTATTCTGAAATGTCTCAAAAGTCAGCTAGCCAGCATACTTCAGGAAGCCTGCGGGCTCCCCTTCTCTCCTTTCCTCCCCACAGCATGCTCTCAGGAAGGATATTTATTTAGGCTGGCCCCCCCCGATTACTAGATTATCGAGACTTTAACAGACTCAAGATTTATGATCAACAAAACAACGCTCACCGGAACTTGGAATTGTCTGGCGTCTGTTAAAGCATGATTTTGTAAATCTCAACCAATCAGAATTTTTTTTCTTGTTAAATTCCTGGATTTTCTGTACTTAAACTCTGTGGAAAATACCTTTCGCTGGAGTACTTTTGTCAATCCTCACAAACTGCCTGACCTCGGTTGTTCCAGTCCTTCAGTAAAACACAGCTTTAATTTTAACGAAGACAACGCATTTGCACTAGACAGACAAAACTCCTCATGGAACTGCTTTCTAGTGAGGACAGACTACAAACAAACAAACAAAAAAAAGTATTTAATATACTCTAAGGAGTTCTAGTGGCTCAGTGGCTGACTAAGCACTCGGCTGCTAACCGAAAGACGGTGATTCGAACCCACCAGCTGCTCCGTGGAAGATGTGACGGTAGGCTTTCATAAAGATTAAACAAAGAAAACACAAATCCACTTCCGACTTAAAAAAAAAAAAACTCACTGCTGTCGAGTCGATTTGACCCATAGTGACCCCTCGTTCGGTTTCCAAGGTGCTCTGGTAGCATAATGGCTAAGGCACTTGACTGCTAACCAGAAGGCTGGCTGTTCAAACCCACCAGCCACTCCTCCTCGGAAGGAAGGTTGGGCAATCTACTTCCGTAGTGATACCGCCTCAGAAACCCCAGGAGGGGTCGCTATGAGTCGGTCTGACTCCACAGCACATAACAACAACAACAACATCTCTATGAAAGTAGATTGCTCCATCTTCCTTCCTGGGAGTGGCTGGTGGGTTTGAACAGCCAGCCTTCTGGTTAGCAGTCAAATAAATGCCTTAGGCACTGTGCCACCAGAGATTCTGACTTACAGCCTTGGAAATCTATGAGGCAGTTCTACTATGTCCACTATGGGTTCTGTAAGTCGGAACTGCCTCTGGCAATAGGTTTGGTATAGGCATTGGTGGTAAGTATCGTAGAGGAAAAATTAAGCATGCAGTGCAATGTAAAAATAAAGTACTCAGTGTGGGTTTAGGACCATGGTCACAGGGGACGTCAAGCTCAATTGGCATAACATGCTACACAAAAACATTGCTCTACATCCTACTTTTGTTAGTAGCAACTGGGATCTTAAAAGCTTGAAGGCAGACATCTAGATGCAACAATGGGTCTCCTTGTCCAGAGCAAAGAAGAATGAAGAAAACCAAAGACACACATGGAAACAATTAGTCCAAGGGACTAGTGGACCATGTGAACCTCAGCTTATACGACCATGAAACCAGAAGAACTAGATGGTACCCAGCTACCACCATCAACCACTCTGAAAGAGATCAATGCAGGAGATTCTGGACAGAGTGGGGGAATAATGTGGAACAAAACTAAAAAAAAAAAGACCAGGTTTACTGGTCTACTAGAGCCTGGTGAGACCCCTGAGACTATGGCCCCTAGTTACCCTTCAGGTCTGGAATTGAACTCACTCCCATGGCTTCCAGCCAAACAATAGACAGGCATATAGGTTGAACGTTTACATCTGGTAGATAAGCTCCTTAGAATAGTCAATCATGGGAGATCAGAAGGAGATCTGCAGGAGGAGACAGCTGGGCTGGGGGCGGGATAGGAATGCACAAGGAAGGATCCAGGGAGGAGGTAACTACAGAGAGGAAGCAGGAAGAAAGCTGTTCCATTGTGGGAACTGCAGTCAATGCCATGAAACAAACTGTGTATGAACTGCTGTATGGAAAAGGAACTTGCTCCATAAACTTTCACCCAAGTCACAGTACAAATTAAAAATAAATAAATAAGGTACTCAGGTTAGGCTTCACATAGAAGGTGGCCATTTGTACAAAGATTAAAGGATTCACAAAATTGACACAAGAATTAGGTTAGATTGAAAAAGATACTGGCCGCCTGGGCAGGTTTTAAGTCTTACCATTCAACAAACATACACGGAGCCTCTACTATGTGCCACCCCTCATCTGCCAGTTTGTCACGCTACAGTGGCTAGGAATTGCTGTGACTCTGGAAGTTAAGCCATCAGTGTTACAACACCAGCAGGGGGTCTGTCATGCTATGTTGTTGTTTGCCATCTAGTCGGCCCCGACTCATAGCGACCCCTCCTTGGGTTTCCGAGGCAGTATCACTACGGAAGTAGGAATGCCCAACCTTCCTTCTGAGGAGTGGC